AATTTAATTTAACATTATAGACCGCAATTCGTAGTTTAGTCATTTTAATTTAACATAATATACTGTTTAGAAAATTTAATTTAACATTAATTACGGCAATTCGTAGTTTAGTCATTTTAATTTAACATTATATAACGGCAATTCGCAGTTTAGTCATTTTAATTTAACATAAAATACGGCAATTCGTAGTTTAGACACTTTATTTTAATATTAAATACGGCATTTCGTAGTTTAGTCTCTTTATTTTAAGATTAGATACGGCAATTCGTAGTTTAGTCACTTTATTTTAAGATTAGATACGGCAATTCGTAGTTTAGTCATTTTATTTTAACATTAAATACGGCAATTCGCAGTTTAGTCATTTTAATTTAACATAAAATACGGCAATTCGTAGTTTATTCTATTTAATTTAACATTATATACGGCAATTCGTAGTTTAGTCATCCAATCTTCCATAATTTTATCTAAATTTAACATTAATTTACGCAATTCGTAGTTTAGACATGGCAATTCGCAATTTACCTGGCAATTCGTAGTTTATAGCAATTCGTATTTTAGTCATGGCCGGCATATGCCTATTATTTAATCGATATGTTGCATCCACACATATAACTTCAGGATATTTTGAAAAAATATACTGCATTTGATGAGTTTGATAATATATACCAATTAGATTCCCATTTTTCAGTATATAATTCCATATTAGCATCATTATCTTCCTTAAATTTATCTATTATTGTAATTAAATCATTATCATAAGTTTTTTTTGTATTTTTTGTCTATATTATGCAAATCTCTTAGGGTTATAAACTTTCCTTCAGAAAATAGTTTATTTTTTATTTGGGATTTATTTCCTCCTGTAGTTATAGCTTCAACTACAAATTTATACTGTGCTTCATTAAGCTTTCTTTGTCTGGGTAATGATTGGTATAAATTTTCATCTAAAATTAGAGAGTATTTTTATAATCAAAAAATGATTTTTCATTTGTTTTAAAAACATTATTTCATACTTTTATCTTATATATATTCTATCAAAATTTAATAAATTAACCCTATAAGCCTATCCATATCCCTAAGTTAAATTATATATTTATCTTAATAATTTAAAGATTATGTGCCTTTACCATGGGGATGATTGTGATTTTCATGCATATCCTTGACAAATAATTTGTTTTTCATGAATGTAATTTGCAAATGGAATTGACATCCTTGTTTTATAGACATGTAATTGCTTAAACCTGTGGATTTTGTATTGTACTTTCCACCAAATATACAAAGAAATTTTAAGCATTTATATCTAAATTTTTCAAAGGTGATTTTAAAATTTAAAGATTTATGTAATTTAAATTTTCATATTGCTTTATAGCATCTTGTAAATCTTTATAGGATAAAAATAAATCTGATATATAAATATTTATGTATTTTAAATTTTCATATTGCTTTATAGTTTACTAAATTTCGTTCACGATATTATTTATACATCCATTTTATTATAAATACAAATTTTAAATAATTCGTTAAATTTTCGTAACTTTTTTATCGATTCGGAAATTGTAATAAATAAGAAAAAATATAACTTTTATTTCTTGCTAATACGCCATTTGGCGTAAGTCTATCATATCCCGAAATATTGGCATGTTTATTATCAGTTAATTTGGTTTGGATAGTATTTGTCTTTTTGAATGAAGATTCTCCTATACCAAATTTTTTTATATGTTACTCTATTTCCTTATAGCAATTGGCGTGAACAGTCTAATAAAATAAATAATATTATAATGTAAAAATAACAATTTACCTTTAGGTGTTTCTTCAGGTTATAGCTACTCGATTGATTTGATGATATATTTTTTTTACATTTTAAGCACAGGAATTTGAATCCAGATTTTGTTTTAATATTTATTTTAAAATTTTTTTCAAATCTAGGGATTGGGAAATCGTTATTAGATATAGTACATTTTCTTCCATTGAATCTTCCATGTCTGAATCCCTTTCAAGGATTTGGATATCCATGGGCGATGCCATTTTAGATTATTAACACAGATTGAAAATATAAATTAAAAATTGAAAATATATATAAATTTCAAAATTAAATAATAAATTATAAAAATTATAATTAATTATGATATTATATTTAAATTTTCATGTTTATACTTACATTCATTATATTTTTTAAAAGTAACAAAGTAGCGCGCTAAAAAATTAAATAATTTTAAAAAAAGTAGCGGCTATTAGCTATAGCTACCAAAAAAGATAGCGCGACTCTGATTAAATTTAATATTGCATTGCCCTCGAGTCCTAGGGTTGAATATTTTGGAGGCTATGTCTCCTACCCACCCCGGCCATATAGACACTGATTATATTATAGTACTACCAGATGATTTTTTAAAATAGGATTAAGATAATCCTTAACTACGCAAATGCTAAAATTTATTGTGGTATTGCTAATATTGTACTTTATTTTACAATTAAAAATATTTTAATTAAAACCAATTACCTATGCCTTTAAGGTTCAGAGAAATATTTGTACTAATATAGAATCTTGCTAATACTAAGTTGAGAATAATGCTAATATTGTTCTTTATTTTACAATTTTCCAGAAAAATATATATGTAAATATTTTAATTAAAACAATTATCTTTGCCTTTAAGGTTTAGAAAAATATTTGCTAATACTAATATAGAATCTTGCTAATACTAAGTTAAGAATATTGCTAATATTTTTATTTTATAATTATGTAAAATATTTTAATTATTGCCTTTAAAGTTCAGAAACATATTTGCTAATACTAATATAGAATCATGCTAATACTAAGTTGAGAATATTGCTAATATAGTCTTTATTATACAATTTTCTAGAAAAGTATATATGTAAATATTAATTATGTAAAATATTTTAATGATAAATTATAGAAAAAAATTTGCCATTTGACGCTAAAAATCTTGATGACAAAAGAAAGATAAATGAATTGGACTGATACCGAACTGGCAAGTAACGTGAGGTTTTTTTAAATATAATTCAAAATTTGAAATGAAAATATTTAACAAAATTGATGATATTATCACGGACTTGTTGACTGTTATTGCATCTCCAGAAAATAAACAGATATTATTAAATTTAGAAAATATTTGGAAAACTAATAAGCATTTGTGCACTAAAATTTTCAGTAAAGAAGTAGAAGCATATCTTGCAGCTAGTAAAAATCCTTATAAATTGTCATTATATCTTTCAATGAATGCTTTTGATTATTTTAATTTTAAAAATTCTAATTTTTCTCATTCTATTCTGATGATATTTGAAAATTGGATTAATAAAGATGAAAAGTATTTACATTTAATTAATGAAGATTTACAAAAATGTGCCCTTGTGCTCTCAACCAGGTATATTTAAAAGATAAGCTTAAAATATTAATAAAGTAGAAATCATACAAATCTGTTTACAATTATTGTGTCACTATTTCAGCTTAAAACTATGAAATCAAGCTTCCTAACAACTTTTGTGCAAGCTTTATTATATGAGAAAAAATATTTAAAAGCTTCCATAATTGTGAAAGAGCTAGATATCTATTGTGTGGTAGACATATATAAAGTATATAGTTTAATTATAAACAGATTTTTAATTTGAAATAGGAAATATTATTGCCACTAGCATTGATTAGTAATGCAAAACCAATTGAAAACTTTTTGAATAAAATGCCAAAGGAACAAAAAATATTTGTTCAAATGCTTGATCATTATATTGGTAATATTCATATTCTACAAGAATTTGTACATCATATTGAATGCAATGATATCAAAATTTCCTTGGATATTAAAAAACTAGTAAATATTGTTAAGACCTTTCTCAAGAATTTTGAATTGAAATCAAGTATGATTGTTAATAGTTTATTTTTGACTTAAAAATAAATAAAAATGTGTATTATTTACATTTAATTTATTTAAATAAGTCAAATAATCTTCTATTTAAGTGTCCCAGCTCTTTCAAATAAATTTTTTACTTTTATTAGTCAAACAAAGGAACCTATAAACTTTTTCCTGGGGAGATGAAAAATATATATTTTTTTAAGGCTATTAAATAAAGCTTTGTGTTGGAAAAACAAAGGCAGGTTGGACATAGTTACATGGTACATAGACCAATAATATTTTACCAATGAAATATCCTTTTTGATAAAATCTAGATTATGTTCCAATAAATAGCAATTATTTTAAATTGAGAATAAAATTATATTATAAATATATAAAAATTAGTAATATATATAATTTATATATAATCAATATAAATGATCCTAAATTCTTTAGCTGATGTGTCCCTAGAGGGATGCCAGGTAAAAATAATTACTTTGTGAATACATTTTTGTACTAAGTTTTTGCAACAATAATTTATCTGAATAAAATTTTTAAATAACAAATATATTATCATTTTTTAAAATTGTTTTATATTATAATTATTATGAAAAATTTTATTTAATGTCATTACAAAATTAATTTTAAAAAAAACTAATGGCATAGCATAGTGTTGTAAATAGTCGAGGGCTCCAATTCAGAGTTGGTAGTCATTAGTCAATTTAGTCGAATATTTTATAATTACCTTACATTAAAAAATAATTTTTATTTTTGTTTTTTTAGAAATAAAATTAAGAATCTATGAAGGTTAGCCTAGCTAATTTTTTGGATAAGAACCCACGTTTTTTTATTTGATAATAATTTTGAAAATATTTTATTAAGATCTAACAATATATAATTTTAATATATATTTTGTATATGGATTATTAAAATCTAACAATCATTATTTTAATTATATAATTGTTTATAATGTGATATCAGCTCAATAAATTTTTTAGCTCAGTTTCTGTATCGAGATACATTTTACAAGTAACGTTTTAAACGATGTATATATATTAATTTTAAATACAGCACACTCAGTAATTTGTCTAAAAAAATATTATAGCAGCTTGAAAATTTTGCTCAGATGGCAAATAGCTAAATCTTGAGGCTTTATACGGCTCCTTGATCAGCTTGAGTCGGTTTTACGACTCGAATTCCTAATTGTAAGAACTCCATTATTTAATAATACTATTCATTTTTTAAAAAATAAATTACTATATATTTGTTTTAATATAGGATTTAAGTCATTTTACTTATATTTAAATTGTAATAACTCTTGGCCCACTCTACTCTAGGAATTTGTACAAATATTAAGAAGCATAACGTCTATCATTTGAAAGTAAAAAGAAGAGCAATTTTTATTTTATAGCTATTTGCGGGTTTTGGTAATAATAGAATTTCAATTAAGTAAATTTTATATCATATTAAAGGGCCTTTTTAGAGCTATTTAATAATTTAAATGTTTTTAGCTTAATTAGTTTTTGAGATATTTAAAATAAATATAATGTATTATGGAATTTTCGCATTTCTAAAGATGACCATATCATATAAACATAAAGTATTTTTTACCAAAATTTTTAAAAAAATCGAAGGGCGGAAATCGAGGTTTTCTTTATTTTTAAATTACGTGATACGTGATAAGCGTTTTCACCCTCTGGTTGTGGATACAACAGAGCTACGCTAGGTTTTATGGAATACAAAATTTCTAGTTTAGTTATTTTTTTTTTATTTATTGACTTGGATAAAAATTATTACTACTGTGTATTTTTTATTTCTATTAATTATTATTTAAATAAATAATTTTTTAAAATCTTATCTGTAACATTTTGGTATTTTATGGAGACTGAATATGTCCATAGAACATAATGTTTCGGCCCACAAATGTAGTGGTTGAGAGAATTTAGAGCATAAAATAAATAGTATAAATAAACTACTAATACTTTATTAATTAATATAAATACTAATTTCATAATTATAATTAAAATAAGAAATTAAAATAATATAAAAAAATTAAAATTAAAAATTAAGTTCGTAAAATCATTATCTTTACCAAGAAAAATATCCTCGATTATATATACTTTTCTATAATATTCATTTACATAATGTTTAAAAAAATAAACTGAAATAATCTTGAACCTTATTTAATCTGAATAATAAATCTTTTTTATTCATTTTTCTTTAACTCATTTGAATATTACAACACCCTTCCACTTAGATTAGACCCCACATTCTGCGAAAGACCAATCGTCGTGCATGTATTCGATTACTTCTTCTCACGGGTATCTGTTTCTTACCTTCGTCTGGTATTGATTGCATGCTTTTAAACTATTCACGATTGCTAGTCAATGATTATCGATACCCCATCTTAAATTCTCCTGTTAAATTATTTTAATCTTTGCTTGTTTCTAACGTTCTTCTCTTGTAACTCATGATAAGTGCTTTATCTCGGTCAACGCTAGTCGATGCTTGATCTGCGATTAACGATTGTTTTCACGAATTCTTGTTTCTAAGATCATCGATTTTTTATCCTATACTAAAGTTTTGATAAGCAATTGGCGATAATTTATCAACGATTAACGATTGCATCCTGGTCTTGACCACTTGTTCTACCTAGTCGCTTGTCAAGATATCCACGTTGCCTTAAGATCTCTTATACGATAATGATTTCTTGTATCTTTTGATCCAAAATAAAAATCCGATCTCTAATTGAGCTCGATTGCGGCATATATTTTCTAATGACGAAAGCCGTTTCTCTTTATGAAGATTTTGGTTAATCAACAACCTGATATTTTGCTAAATATTATCAACTTAAATAACAGTTAAACGTATATCTTTAATAAAAATTTATAACGAATTTCTTTTAGCTACCTCGATCACTTGTACGTAAAACGATCTCTTGTGACGAATTCTTTTTAGCTAAATGACTAATTCTATTCTTTTCCGAAATACGACCATTAATATTGATACCATTGTTTTATTGCTCTCATTCTTTGTCTTAGTGTCGATAGTTATTTCATACATATCCCTCCCCTTTATTTAGAATTTCTTTTCAGAGTTAATTAGACTGAATTGTTGTAATTGCCCCGTCGCAATGTAACATTTTTTTTAAACTATAATACTTTATTAATTAATATAAATACTAATTTCATAATCATAATTAAAATAAGAAATTAAAATAATATAAAAAAATTAAAATTAAAAATTAAGTTCGTCAAATCATTATCTTTACCAAGAAAAATATCCTCGATTATATATACTTTTCTATAATATTCATTTACATAATGTTTAAAAAAACAAACTGAAATAATCTTGAACCTTATTTAATCTGAATAATAAATCTTTTTTATTCCTTTTTCTTTAACTCATTTGAATATTACAACATTATCAATATTAATATAATACAGCAGTGTTAATAAAAACTTACAATAAAAGGAGGTAAATATAATAAGATTTTATTTTAACTTAATACATATTGAAATTAAATATGGACAAGCAATTGATTAACAAGATTAATCGTTAAACAGAAATGTGTTGGAAATTTAATTAAAAATAAAAAAATCTGTTTGTAGTTATTTATTAATTTTTTTAAATTTTTCTTAAATAATAAAAAAAATGTTTAATATAGAATCTTTATTATCCAATAGTAATACTAATTTTTCCAATTTAAATGAAAACTCCCAATCTTCATCGAGAATTTAAAGACCAAAAAGAATACAAATATTGAAATAAAGAAAAAATAGATATAGTTACTAAAACGTTAGCAATGCCTGAAAAACAACTAATGAAAATCAAAGACATCGCAAATACGTCGAAATGTCTATGGCATAGGTTCAAAAATTTAGACGGCGCACATTCCCAAATATAAATGGAGATCCTTTAAAAGATTCAGTGTTCAAAAAAGAGGAAGTAAGAAAAAAATTCTTTAATATTTAAAAGATTCATCGTAAGCTTATTAATAAAAAATAACACAAAACGAAAACAACAATTTAGTACATTATCAAAAATATAGGTTTGTCGAAAAAAAAGAAATACTTCGGCTATGCCTGGGCGCCATACAATTTTTTTTCTTCTTTTTAGCTTTCACCTTTTTTCTGGTGGTAAGCTCCTTCAATATCTCTCTACTTTATTACTCATGCTATCTCTTATTATCTAATTTATATTCTGATATCCCACCGAGTATTCTTATCGATCCATTTGGATCTCACACCGAAGTATCAATATCGACAGATATCCCATCGGCGTTATCTTATCGATTCCATTGTAAGCTTAATCTCCCATCGGAGTATAGTTATCAAGTCCATTGTAGATTGGTAGACATTGTGTTTGAACGGTCCCCGAGGTCACCATTATCCTAGAGCTGACAAAGAGATCGCTATCATCCTTGAATGGCTCACAAGTTCAGCTGGCCATCTTTCATTTGGTTTATTTAGCACCCGGCTTTCCAAGCTTGTCGGTGACCGGGGTGGGATTTCTCAGCTCAGAAATTCCTTTTATATGTCTTTACACATCAGTCATCGAAGATAAACTTGAAAATTTTTACAGTTCCTTACCAGAATTTAACCTGAAACCTTCCGTTTCCAAGCATACATCATACACCACACACCACTAGGCCACCCCTCAATGTCCGTCCAATAATAAAAATCCTATCCTCTAAGGGTAAAAATGTAAGCATACTTATACAATTGGAATTAGAGGGGTTCCATTATAAAATAATCAAAGGAGCTTATAATGGTTTATTATTCCGTGATTTTATGAAAGAGCTTATCAGTGTCTTACCACCAGATGCAATTATTGTAATGGATAATGCATATATCCATAAAAGTCATCTTATCGATGCTTATAAAGATAGGATTGATTACCTACCACCATATTCACCTCAGCTAAATCCCATCGATAATTTTTTTGGAGTCTTGAAAAATAAA